GGCTGCACCAGCCAGCTGGGGGATGACTGATGTGCAGCTGACTGGCGTGCACACGGCTATGAGAGGGAAGAGGCAGCTGTGAGTCCAGCTGGCCAGACGCACAGTGGTGAAGGAGGTTTTGCTTGCTCACATCCTCGACCCTGCATCATCGCTCTGTCCTTGCTGGTTCAGCTGGGGGCCACTGATGTGGTGGCCCTCCAGCGTGACAGCACCGGCCAGGAGCAGAGGAGGACGGCATGCACATGCATTTGGGGAAGGGAGCAGCCTACATCACCCGAGGAAAGGTCACCAGTGACACAGCCTCAAGCTCTGCCCATATGGCAGATCACAGCAACAGAGAGATGGCAGTGGCAGGAGTCATAGAGCCGTCTGACAGCCCGTGGGTGGATTCGACAGTCCTCGTCGCCAAGAAGGATGGGTGGTGGCGCTTCTGTGTTGACTACAGATTGCTGAACCCGGTAACGAGGAAAGACTCCTATCCACTGCCACGCACTGATGACACACTGGACTACCTCACTGGGTTGTCATGGTTCAGCACCTTGGACCTCTGGACTGCCTACTGGCAGGTTGAACTGGCCCAAGAAGCTCACCGCTTTCTCCATCGGCCACGGAGTATGGCACTTCTGGTCAATGCCGTTCGGCTTCTGCAACACTCCGGCCACATTTGAGAGGCTCATGCAGCGTGTGCTGTACCACGTTGCCCAAATCGAGTGCGTTGTCTATCTCGACGATCTACTGGTCTTCGCTGCTGACTTTGCTCAGGCAATCCGGAACCTAAAAACTGAGTTCTCCACAATAAGGCAGGCAGGATTACAGCTGAGCTCCCTCTTCCTCTTCCAGCACCTGACGTACTACCTGGGCCACGTTGTCAGCAAGGAGAGTGCAGCTACCGACCCGGAAGATATGGCAGCCGGGTGGGGTTGGTCGATTTTGTGCAACGTGAAGGAGTTGCATCACTTTCTGGTTTCCAATGGATGGACACCTGTGCTGCGACTTTTAACCAGCTTCGCTGAAGCCCCCATGCTAGCGTACTTGGATCCATGTCCCCCTTTCATGGACATGGACACTAGTACCAAGGAGACAGGTGCTGTGCTGTCGCAGGTGGGGCCCGAAGAAGAGCGCGAAGTGGTGTATTTACTTACCTGGTAGGAATGCAACTATTGCGTAACCCAACGGCAACTGCTGGCCATGGTGCCTGCATGTAAACATGTCTGTCCCTACCTCTGTGGCCAGTGGATCCGGTTGCGGACGGCCCAGACATCACTGGCGTGGCTCCTAAACATTCACAACCCGGAGGGCCAGCTGGCCCGCTGGTTAGGCGTGCTGGCGGAGTTCGATTTTGAAGTGCAACATCACCCCAGGAACTCGCACAGAAATGCGGACGCTCTGTCTCTCAGTCCCCCCACCACCGAGAGCTGCCATCACTGCTGCTGGGCAAAGGAGCAAGAGCAGCTCTCTGCGGCAGTAGCCACTGCACGCACGGAGCCGGACGATCAAGCCCACCAGGACTTTGATCAGCTGGCTGCGGCAGTAGCCACTGCACGCACGGAGCCGGACGATCAAGCCCACCAGGACTTTGATCAGCTGGCTGCGGCAGTAGCCACTGCACGCACGGAGCCGGACGATCAAGCCCACCAGGATTTTGATCAACAGCAGCTCATCACGGAGCAGCACAGCGATGCCGTGCAGGCCAGGGTGAAGGAGAGGCTGGGCAATGGGAGGTATCCGGGCTGGGAGGTGATCTCGGCCTCTGGAAACACTGACCTACCACAATCAATGGGACACCCTGGAAGAGTGCGAGAGGCAGCTGTGACTATAAAAAATTACAAAACTTACAGCCATTGCTTTTCAAGACATAATACTTCAAGCTTGCATACGTCAATGATTTACGCAGTACTGAAAGTTCCCTGTCCCACAATACAAAGCATATGCATCAAATTAAATGCAACATATCAAAACAAAAATTGATATAAAGTTCACTGTAGACTGATTCGGCATAGCAAAATAAAGGTCTATTACCACAAACAATATACAACCTTCCTTCGCAGACCCAAATAAATCAGGGAGCAGAAAAAAGAGAACAGAATAGAAAGGCCGCTCTCATTTCCACAACCAAAGTTCTCGTATATTGGATAATACCAACTGGCCGGAGAGCTTAAGTCCAGGCAGTCGGTAAACCGGTAGGTCGTTACGTGAGGAGTGTCTGTATTTTGAAAATTTGAACATTTCTTGTTGTAGACCAAAAATTCCATTAAAAATGATGATGAATATGACTAGCAAGTTAGTAAGTAAGGCACGTTATGAATGTATTCAGTTATGTATGTATTGAGTCATACATGCATCTGCTTGGAAGATGATTTTCACATTCAACAATAAAGGAAATGAAGGTAATACTTTAGAGGGCACAAATAGTTCGTAATAACTCAGTTACTATTAAAGTACAAATCGTAAACAAATCATGAACAAATATAGTCGCTACTTGAAATAAAAGATACATCACAATTCATTAATGGTGAACAAACGAGATCAGTATTTCACTCGTGTTATTCACATTGTGTTATACATTACTTTTTCCTTTAGTAGTTCCTTCAGTAGTTGCAAGGGTTTGCAGAATTAACAGCTATAGTAACAAATATAATAACTGCTTGAGATAAGAGATGTCACAATTTATTAATGAAGAATTAACATGAGATCATTATGTAACTAAGAGTTTGTGGTTAATTAATACATAAGTAATAGCACAATGCTACATTATTTGTGCCCTGTCAAATGAAGTGTTACTGGAAAATAGTCTTAGTTGTAGAAGACCACAATCTAATCATGACCAGAAAAGTTATAGATAATGTGATTTAATGTAGGTCGTTTGCCGATAGTGTGAGGGGACTGCTTTAGGCGAACTATCATGGCTACGTTTGGCATTAAAGACAACCTACGCTAATCTCTAATCGATTATGCATTAGACTGGGGTGTGCATCTTATATTCCCTGTAACACTTGACCATCAGTATAAGTCAGTTTCAATTTTCCTCACCATTTCCATTGACACAGTATCTGATAAAGGTGTAGGAAATGTTTAGCAGGGAGAACGATAGTTAATTTCCGGCAATGAGTCATTTTGGCGGAACCTGAGCATCATTTACGGGGCAGGTGTTGTGACCTCCTACGAGGGCAGATGCTTTATTATGAGTATTATTATGCTGGAATTTTTCCGCTACAGCATGCTATGAAATGTGTCTGTGTTTGCAGTTTTCTGAATACTGGTAATCTTACAGCTTCAAGGCCAGGTAGCAAACCACCGTCTATCGGTATTTCAGTATTTCCGGCAGAAGGAAATCACCAATGTCTGTCTATCCAACATGTCCTGGACTCACATAGATGCTTGACGCAGTCATGTCTGCTAAGCTTAGGAGCAAGTGATGCTGAAGACACTATATTTTGGTGGTATTTTACAATATACGGTCACATTTTTCTGACAGAAATATTGTGTCATAGCAACAATTACCGCCTTCTATTATATTTATAATGTTATAAGGGTATCATTAGCAGGTGTTTTACAAGGACTCAGGAACGTGCATATCATGCTTTTCCTGATGATTCATCAGAACCAGAAAGGTGAAAACGCTGTAAAACGTAATGCCTAAAATTCTAAAAACACCATTTCTATAGATCCAATATCCAAAGATGGCAGAGGCCTCTTTGACGAACTGGAATCAAAGTCAGCGAGAGCAGGGGCCTCTCCTTTGGCCTGGGAATTTGACGTACAGATAAGTGGCTTCTAACCAATAAAAGCTACATCCATAGCCCTGTTTCTCCTCCTGCGTGTACATAGCCCAGAACCACAAAGTGTCTTCATTTGGAGGAGGATCCAGGCGCGTCTAACACTTTGGTGCAGTGTGTGACTTGAAAGCTAAACTCTATACACTGTGGGTGGTGTGGATTTGCTCCAGGTTCAAGATTGACAGCAGAAGGATATACCAGGGCTACTCAAATCTCGGTCAAGGTCCAAGCACCTTCCTTTACCTGTGAACCAGGTGGAAAGCCTCTGTGCCCATTCAGAATCAGAAATTATGCAACTACCTGAACCGAAAACAAGACCCTTGCAGTCAAGGTCCAGATTTGAAGAGCCCTAGGACATACTGAAGCTGGTGTATTCTGCGTTTGTGCAGATTGTGGAGATTAAGTAGTTACTTCACTCACCACTTCCTCTCTTGAATTCCTCACTAAGTAGCAAGGAGCGGTACCTGACATGCTGGAGGAGTATGCGAGGAGGCCCAGCGTCGGGACATGGGGATTGCCCTCTGGGTATCACGTCATCTACCTCAGTGTGGAGGGGAAATCACCTGCGCTGTTAACGGGAAGCTGTGGCAAGAATCCTCAGTGTGTGGTTGTCTTTGATGTTTCATGGCACCGGTTAGCCCCCCTCCCCGCCGACAACACCTGATATGAAGCTGCATATTCAGCTAGGTGAAAAAACAGCAATTCTTTGCTATAAGGGTGGGACTCTATAGGTGTCTGCTGCTGTGCCAAGATCAGTTCGGTAAATTAAATTTAAATCTTTTAAATGCAGGGGTTGTGGTCGATCCCCTGTTGCCAGGAGATGGAAATGGGGTTAATGCATGGGGTCAATGCTGTGCATTGTCATATGCTGTCAAGCTGTCATCCAATGGGTGACAATGCTACCTCCCATTTCAGCAGTTCATAGTTGTAACCCCCCCCCCCCCAATAATCAAAACCGACCAATACAACCCCACCCGTCAAACAATCACAGAATGGGGAGAACTCAACCCCCAAAATGTTCAACTCAAAGTTACGCCCTGTGTCTTGAAACCTTTGTTGGTATAACTTTGTGTTCCATTTTGTTCGCCTCATGGACCCCTGGCTCTGTACACAGAATTAGTTGTGAATGGGAGACACTCGTATTCCAATTTCAATGGATCAGAATGGCAGGAAAAATTAGGAAACATGCAATTCATTAAAATCACCAGGCCAACTACATGCATGTAATGGCAACGCATATATTATGCACGTTAGAAATCAGAACCATTTAAATTCACATTAGTCAATACACATTTTATGTACATTAGTCTATTGAACATCATTTAGAAATTAACTTTAAGCAGTAACTGATCATTTTAACCTTTTTTTGTTCAAAATATACATAACACTGTCAAATGGCAGCATGCACTATAGTAAACATCTACAGATGGTCAAAGTCACATGGTCCAGTGCTTAGTAGTGTTTGTGGAAAAACATACACTAGAGTAATGAAAAATATATTCAGAGGTCGATGTAAACTTGGATTTATATAGTAGTGATTTCACAGTTGACATTCAGGCTTAAGTTGTGTGTTAATGTGTAGGAATGTTGAGGTCTTTGTGTCAGTGTTCATCCTTGTCTCTTCCCTTCCTTTCCTTCTCATCCTGCAGAGCCGTGCCGAGCTTCTTGATCAGAACAGAGAGGACTTTGTCCAGGGGATCCATCACCCCCCTCTGGAGCCACTTGGGAATGGTTGTCCTTGCGTGATGGAAGCCCAGTTTCTGTAGGATGTAGTCCACGCCAACAGGGTCAATTTTTCGCCCAGTCCAGGATATCAACCTGAAGGAAAATGAGTGTGAGGTGGTTGACTTTCTGTAGTAAGTGTATATGGAAGAATTCATGTCACGCCTACCTGGTGACGACAACAACAATCAGTAGGACTCCCTATTTATGGAATGTCAACGATACCTCGCACCGACCTGCTGCCGGTGCAAGGTATCGTTGGCATGCCATTACTGAGCAAACTAATTATCTGTTCTTCCCACAGTTACGTTACGTCCGTCTGTCCCTTTTTACCCGCGCCTCCTGCCTGCCCTCCTTCCCTTCCGCCCTCCCCGTGACCTCCCTTGTGGATTTCCCTTCTCCGTGTGTCCTTGGACTGACTCCCCGGCTCTTCGACCTTCGGATCTCCCCTTCTCAACTATGCTCGGCTTCTGGTGCTTTGTACGGACGGATTATAGTAATGACTCTGCAACGGATTCTGACCCCTCTTTGTCTAACCGCAAATAAATCTGGTTGCTTGGAATCCTCTGTCTGGGTCTTGTGTAACGGTATATATATATATATACACAGACGCTCCTCTACTTACGAACTTTCAACTTATGAACTTTCAGACATACAAACGAAGAGGACTGCAAGTCCAAATTGTGTTCCTTGGGCTCCTGTTTCCTGTCCGCAACTTCAATTTTTTTTCTGCGCACCAATTCTGCCTAGTACGATTTCTAGCGTAGCGTGCGTAGTCCCAGCATCCTACTTCTTTATACTTGCATATACTATTAAAATGTTGAATAACAACTTACAAGCGATTATTCTTTAAACGATTAATCTAGCGATTATTTTTTCGATTATTCGACTCATCTAACTAATTTTTTGATTGATCTGATGATAAATTTATTATTAAGCAATTATTTTCAAGTTAGTAATTTAATATAATTCACCCTCTCCTGCACTCGGCGGGAGCAAATTTCCTTTTTGCAGGGTGGTAGGAGATGTCTCATTAATATTTATGAGAGAAGTGCTACATGATTGGCCAGTGTATACCTCACAAAACAGTGCGGCACTGCTGGAACCGGTGATATTAGACAAAACTATATCGGAATTCAGTCTATAATTGATATAGTTTTAACGGTGGCAGCAGTGACACAACTAGCGAGCCTATTAACTTTGTTTTGTAAATGAAAAGCATGCCGCAGGGCCAATAAATAACATATTGTAGCTCTGGAGTGGCAAGGAGATCATCAGGTGGACAGTAAAGTTCAGTTATTAGCAGACTGTTTTATTGCACGATTCTTAAAAGGACAGCGTTAACGTGCTCCTGAGGGGATAAAGTACTTTCACTTACAATACGTTTAGCTTTTCACTTAGTGCACTGCAGTTACACAACATCTACGTAGTCTTGAACAACGCGTCAACACTAAAATTCCATGTCGACGCATATTTATAATCGACATTGTCGATTACGTCGAATAATCGTTCCTGCCCTATATATAGTGCTGTGCAAATGTCTTGTGCATTCAAAAACATGTTTAAAGCTACCTGTCTGGGTAGGAAGTTTATATTTGCTTAGAAAAACATTAACATTAGACCATATGCAAATGAACAGTAAGACAATAAAAACGTACAGGAATTTCCTCCGTTCCCCAAAAAGTGACTGATACCTTGCTGGATGGCTAGACGAACATCGCTTCAGTTCCCAAACCTCGCCTCAGGGGCACCTCAGCCATTCCGTGTACTCACTAAATTTCCCCGTCAGCTCTATTAATTATTTTAATAGCTTAATGAGGTATTGATTAGCCAAACACTGAATGCCACATTTACATGGGTGTATTGGACAGCTGCTGCAAATGCTGGGGTGACTTTAGGAAAGGTTTTGAAATGGCTAACCTCACACTTTAACAGACATAATACACCAGCATGAAGAGCATTTAAACATCATTAAACAATGTTTGCATATTGCTGTATATATGCAGTGAGAGACACTGTAAGGCTCGATCCCTCACAAACATGAAGAGCATTTAAACATCATTAAACGACGTTTG